TGTACTATACTGTACAAAAAGAGACTTTATATTTATTATTTTGATTCGAAGTTAAAATAAATCCGGACTGATCGAAACCTCACTATGCGAAGTACCGCTGTATATAGTTATTTAAACATTACAATATAAAAAATTAATTAAATTTAACTTCTTTTTTTGTGTAAACACTTCAAAGGTATTTGTAGAAATTAAATTGTGTTGTTATTGTGCATTGGTTTTTTTGATGATATCGGATATAAACAAACAATACGCTTTTAATTGAAGGACAATCGGGTGGAAAAAAAAAACGCAGGAATCGCGTTGGCGTTGCATAGCAGAGTGGAGTGAAAAAAAAAACGACAACGAAGAGGAGAGAGAAATATATGGGTGCAAATCGATTAATAATTTTATGATTGCCTCCGTTGTTCCGGCATCCGCAAAACCAAACGCACAAGTATCATTCCAATTTATTTATTATTGCACATTTTAATTTCGCATTGTCATTTCGGACGGCCAGATTAATATGTAAAGTGCAAAACGAAATTACGCATCGAATTCGATATAACTTTATAATTGAGGCAAAAGCTGATTATTATTATTTTTTATATGTAGATAAAGCTTGCGCATTTCGTCAACAACATCATCACAATCATGATGATCATCATCGCATGAATCATGAGTTTTGCATATGATGCAATGATATTATTCATCAAAATACAATCAAAATTATTATGAATAAAAACTATTCTTTGCTTAAATTACATGTACGGTCAAAACTCGGTTTTCAAACAAAAATAGAAGACTAAAAACTTTGGTTTTCCAAACAGACATATTAATAATATTTATATTTTTTTCAATCAAATTGTATTACTTTCTTATCTTCTATGTAAATGTTTCATCACTTTCATCTGTGTGAGACGCCAATGGGTACAAACCAACTTTTAAAACTATACCTGTACTGACTGACGATTTGTAAAACTACATCACGACATTTTAGAGCAATGTGTTAAAGGTTTTTCAGCAAAATATTCTTAGCATATTCTATCAGACGCCATGCGAGTATTGGTTTTACCTTTTTTTTTAAAGAATAAGTTTTAGTGATTAAAATATACATAATAAAATTAAGATTAATCATCAGATGTCCCGAAATAAAGGTTTTGATCCAGAAAATGAACCGGATGCGGAGATTTTAATCAATAGCAATGATATCAAACGAAGACAAACAATCAGAAACAAAAATGTTTTACATTTCTATAAAATAAACATGCTTAGAAGCTAATATCTTTTATTTTTTCCTCAATCCAATCAATTATATCTAAACTAATTATATTTAA